TTCCATTTATAGAAACAATTTACAAAACCGTAATAATCCTGAGGGTGCCACGTATATACAAAAGATAAAGAATAAATGAATGATAAAAGAATAAGACAATCAAAATAATTAAGTGGACTTATCCTGAGTGGGCTTTCTTATCTTGGGCTTTGGCTTTAATTCAACAAAATTAATTGAGCACATTGAATATTGGCATTTAAAATCTAAAAATGATAACAAATTAAAAGAAGAAAGAAAAATGCGTTGACTTTTGTTTTTGTTGGGTATCTTTTAGGTCGTGAAATATATTTAAAATTTTCGAGCACAATTTCATTCAAACTAATTACAAACTCTAAAGATTCAATCAAATGAAGGTTAAGTCATGCATAGTCTTTTAAAATTGTAGGCTATGGGCACAAAAACTTTAATTTATGTGCTGAAAACTTTGACTGGGGGATTCAATTAAAAAAGGTTAAGTCATGCATAGTCTCTTAATAATTATTACAAGGGTAAGATTTCACATTTTCTAAATCAATAAATAATAAATTTTTATTAAAATTGAACTAAGTGAACACATTATTTTAAAAATGGTACCATTAAAATAAATATAAATTTAATTTCTTCGAAAGTCTATATTATTAAAAACATATATTTGTGATAAAAGTTGTTATGATTTTGTTATAATTTCAAATTTATTATCCAATCCGACTCAAATAAACTAATTTTATCAAAAATATCTTAATATTTAAACTGATCATTTTCTTAATGCTCTTTCCATCCTTTCAATTAATTTATGAATAGGAGATTATTTTAAAACAAACGACTGCCTCAATAATTATGGGACGAAACTTTTATGTGTGTGTTTATATCCTAAATTTTTTTTTTTTTGGATTTAAAAGAAACATTTGTACACTTCCCAATAAAAAGATGCTAATAGCTTTTTTTTTTTCAGAAAACCATGCCATTTCAATTTTGATATTCTCTCCTTTTCCACTTTACCTATATCACTCTTCTTTTGTCGTCGTCCTCAACCCTTCCCCTTATTTTTTTCCCCCCTCAAACACACAACCTTTTGCCTATGTAGACTCTCTTCTTCACATAGTCTTCTTCTTCATTATTTTTCTTCATTTTATATATCTTCCTCAACTTTCCTTCTTCATCCTTCATTACCATAGGGCCATGGAAGCTTCTCAAACGGCGGGAGCCATCGATTCTTACCGGAGCCATCTTCTTCAATCTCCTCCGGTGCAACTGCATTGTATAATTAATGGCTCCTTTGGTATGTTGCTGGAATTGGAGTTAGAGAAATAGACTAGAAATTGCATGTTTTGGTAATTAAGATGGAACTTGGAAATTTTTCCCTTTTCAGTTTGAATTAAGCCCAATGACCTGCCCAAATAAATTAAAAAATTTAGAGTCAAACTTAATAAAATAATACATTTTAATATTTTAGTTAGCCTAAATATCACGCTTGGCCTGAATACTCAATACCATTTTTTTAAGAACAAAACTTATATATTTAATCTTTTATACTTAAAGTGCTTATGTTCAACTAAATCAAGACTTGAATCATTTATAAATCATTTATTCTATAATAAATTATTCTATAAAAATTTCATTTGGCTCTTGGAAAACAACAGAGTGTGTTCGGCAAATCTCAAAGAAAGAAGAGGTCTTTCAAACTCGAGCGCATGTCTTTTTGGATGCAATGAGGAGGAGATAGCAATGCACATTGTTAGAGACTACAGAATTGCCAGGGATGTATGGAAATAGGTTATTAAAACAAAACACTGGCGCAATTTTATGCAGCAACATTGTCTTGATTGGATTCGATGGAATGCAAAGAATGATCTTGGAATTGATTCTGCAAAAAAGGCACCATGGACCATTACCTTTGCATATGTATGTTGGGAACTATGGACCGATAGATGCACAAATTTATTTGAAAATAAAGAACCAAAAATGAAGATTAGTATAAATAAATGCATCTGGAAACTATAACAAATTTCAATTTGATGGGAAGAATGAATGTGAAAAAATCCACTCTCAAACCAGTTGACAAGTGGCACCCTCTAGCCAAAGGTTTTGTTAGATTTGATGTTGATAGATCAGAACAAGCAAATAGGCTTGCCACTTGCGGAGGAATGGTGACAGATGAGAATGGCAACTGAGCTACAAGCTTTTGTAGCAAAAATTGGGCAACTTCCTTCTATGCTAGCGGAAAGGGTTCAAGCAGGTTGAAGTTTTTTCTAACTGTGTGGAAGCCATTAACCTCATAAATAGAGGCCATAATGATAACCATCTTTTCCATAACATTTTATCCTATGCTATTAGTATTTTAAATAGGAATTGATCTGTTTCCATTAGTTTTGTTTATAGAGACATTATTAGTGTTGCTCATAAGCTAAATAGGAAAGCTTATTTTAAGAAGAGTTGTTTTTGTATCTTTGATTATTCACCACCTTAAACTAATGTAGGGGGTGCATGATGATTGATTTGGACTCTCTTGTAGTCTGTTTGTCGTTTTCAGTTTTTCTTTTGTGAATGGTATTCAGTTTTATTCAAAAAAAATTATTGTTATCAATATTATTAACATATTTAAATCCACTTCTTTTGATTTGATTGGATAAAATACAGTAAACAGTGTTATTAAAAGCAAACTGGGTCAGCCGATTCGACTAATTGAACTGGGAACCAATTTTAAGTCCAATCTGATTGGAGTAAGAAATCAATCAATCTAAAAATTAGTCAAAAACTAATAAAATCAGTGGAACGAATGAAAAATCTGGTTGAGCCGACCTTGATATTTTTTAAATTTTAAAATTTTTTACTTCAAAAATTTAAATTTATATTCATAAACTACAATTTATACATACATATATATATATATATATATATAAGCATAATAAGCATTGATAAATGAAGAAAAATAAAAAAAAATACACTAAGTATGTATTGATAAATGAAGAAAAATAAAAAAAATACACTAAGTATGTATATACAGTTATACACATATATTTTGAAGCTATAAATTAAAAAATAAGTATATATATTGGATTTAAATGATAGAATATTAATGGACATTACCTTTTTTATTTTATATTATCTTGTTTAAAATTTAAAAATTCATTTTCATTATTATATATAATTATTTCCTTTTATTTTAAGCATATATTATTTAAAATATATCATTTATTTATGACCGTTAAACTAGATCATAATCCAATGATTGAACCATGAATTTGTACCTCAATCGGCTTAATGACTGATCCAGTTTTTTTAACATCGACATTAAATATAAAAAGTTAAGTATATAAATTTATTTATTTTAAGGCTAAAATTCATAAAACATTTGTGAATTTTGAAATAGTTACATATAACCCCTCTCACTTTTAAAAGTTTAAAATTAACTCCCTGACCTTTAATTTTATTTTTCAAAATCCCATATTATTAATTATATTATTTTTTCATGAGAGTTAAAATTTTATTCAATTAAAAAATGTTATTAAACAAAAATACTATATTATAAAACTATTTATGATAAATTTTTTATATTTTTTTGAATAGTTGAGGCATTGATAAAAAAAATTGTTATTATCATTGTATAAAATTTTAAATATTTATGTTTATACTAATTTTATTCTTTTTTTGTTATCAATAGTGCATAATTTTATTATTTTAAAAGATAAATTTTTATTTACATTTTCATGTTAGATTAATGTAATTCACATGGCTAAAATATTTAAAATTTTAAATATTATCATGTTAAATTATTTTATCTTTTAATAATAGAAAACTATGCACCATTAATAATAAAAAATATATAAAACTAATATAAAAGTAAATATTTAAAATTTTATATGGTGATAATAACATTTGTTTTGGCTACTATCAAAAAAACATAAGAAATTAATTAACCATATTTTTTTCAATATAATATCTTGTTTAATAACATTTTTTAATTGAATGACATTTTAATCCTCATGGAAAAAAAACATAATTAATAATAGAAAGTTTTGAAAAACAAAATTAAAAGTTAGAGGGTAATTTTAAAATTTTAAAGATGAGAAAAATTATATACAACTGTCTCAAAGTTCAAAAAATTTTATGTATTTTAACTTTATTTTAATTTGACTGGATAAAAATATATTAAGTATATAAGACTAAATATATGAATCTTGAATTGATCTCCACGACCATGGCAGGAGAGGATGAAGGAAAGGGTTGACTGTTGAGAAAGATGGAATGATACAAAAGAAAAAAATTAATGAAAAGGAGTTTCTGGGGGAGGGACGAAAAAAAAAAAAAGGAGAAAAGGATGGAAAAAGAAGAGTGAAAAAGTGACTGTGTCTAGAAGACAATCTACATAGGAGAGAAGTTGTGCTAGAAAAAAGATGGAGAAGGCTTGATGAGAGAAGAGACAAGTCATTAGAAAATGAGAGTATCAAAATTGAACATAAAAAACTTTCCAACTGTTCCTTCTTATCCTTATCATAAATCATTTTCAACCACCGAATCAGAATTACTAAAAAATAGTTAACTCATTAAATCGTCTCAAGATTAAAAATATTTCAATTTTGCCCGTGTTCCAGAGAAAGAGAAACATAACGTTTGAGTAATTTGCTGCGGATAAAATTGAAAAAATGTTAATTAATAATATTTTATGGAACTTATATTAAATACCAAGAAATTCTTCCACAATGTCACCTGTAATAGACAACTGAGGAGTATTTAGTTTCTTTTTAAATAAAGGAGTAAATAAAGTGAATAAATGGTCCCTTTTGCTTATAATTGTGACCAAGGATCCTCCCTCTATTTTTGCTGATACATTTCGACAGGGTACTATTCTAATCGTAAGATCCACTTGAATATATACTTTTTAAACATTAAAACAAGAATAATGATAATTATTAGTTAACTTTCAAATACTAGATTAATGACACTAAAAGAAGAAAATTGAAATGAGTGCATGCCATAAAAATATTCTGATTTCTGTTAAAAGAATGCAGAAACAGTATCAATAATGAAAACCAGACTACTATAACTTTGGTGAAGAATCCGCCAAAACATCCATTTATACAAGCGGTGTTCATTCATACAAATAAACATATTTTGTCAACACTGAAAATGGTTAGAGACAATCCTAGGAATCAGAAAGAAAGAATGAGTTGTTCTTGGTTAATACCTTAATCATGTCATATCCATGATCCCATGTAATGCAGCGTTAGGCTTTCTTGTTAGACAGATTCTGCACCGTAATGTCCATCGTGAATGGAGTTGCCGTTTTCTTTGCCGAGCTTGGAGTTGCCATTTTCTTTGCCGAGTTTCGATTTTGGTAAAGCCGATGTCTGACGAGGAGATACCTTCATCGATTGCGAGTTCATATTAAGGTAAGCATAAACAGACATGCCGGCGATCGCTGTAAATGCTCCACAGATACTGGTTTTGCCGGGATTAGATCCAAACAGGTAGTAATTTCCCAGAAGGAGGACACAGGTTTTAAACTGCCCAAGAACAACGTGCGAGATCGCTGATGTGGCACTGTGACAACAATAAAGAAGAGGGAAAACACATCAGAAAAGAGAAGAAAAATAAAAAGCAATTAGCAGAAGAATAACATACTGTAATGTTCTCAATGGTGAGTAGAGACTAAAAGAAAAAAAGATAACAGAGTACTATGAGTGTGACCTGTCATTTAGCAAGAATTCAGAGAAATTCTCTTTGCCTCCCAAGAGACAGAAGTCCACCAAACTAATTACAGAGACAAACATGTCAAAGATTCCACAGAAACGTGTCTTAACCTCCTCAAATGTTTATTAATCAATGGTTTAGGGGACAGACTTTCCTTTCGGTCCTTATTATGAGGACATTTCCTATGGCCCTTAATAAAAGATACTTTGTCTAAAGTATTAATTTTCCCCCTAAATGTCCTTTTACTTTGACGTCTCCTTACCAACTAAACAATCTCCTCCAATTAATTAATTTCATTCAGGGTAATTTTGATATTTTAAAAGCTTTAACTAATTTTAACTAAATCCCTTAATCTATGCAATGTAGTTAATAAGTCTTTAAAATAAGGACAGGAGGAAGTATCTACCTGAAATGTTTCCAATAATTTGTGAAACTAATGCAATGATTGGTAGATACAAAAGTGTTTTTCAAAAGGGGGAAAAAAAAGGAAAAACGTAACAATTTCATTTGCTTTCTATATACATCCTCTATTTCTTTTCTAGAAAATACTTTTTTTTTAATTACTAGAAAATACTTTTCCATTTACTAAATATGCACTAACTGAACACGCAGCATCATTCACTATATAAACCAATACACTGTAAGCCAACAAACAGATATGGTTAACACTCACCCAAGTGCTAAAGCACCAGACCACTGAAGCAAGAATCCAAGAATAGCTGATGCAAAAATCACCAGTGTGTTCTGAAGGTTCCAATTGAAGGAAAGTACACCTGGAGGATCTAAGCAGGGCAACATAGCAGCCAGGAAAATCAACGTAATAGGTGTTGTTTTCCACATCAACCTGTTGATCAATCCACGAATCATGCACAATACAGAAAAAAGAATCCGAGATGAAAATCAACATTAGGGTTTGGGAGGAGGAGGTGAGGGCAAGAATATATATAAATGTTGTCAATAGCTTACGCCAAAGCAGTCCAGTTCTCTTGCTGCTGCAGTCTAGACCAAAGGATTTTGTTCACAGCACTGGGTATAATCCAGGCCACTGCAACACAAGCGCCAAATACATGGAACTGCAGATCAGTCACCGTAGCCACTGCAACTCCAATAGATACCACAGCGAGTGCTAAAGCCTGTAAATTTTCAAACTTGCATTATGCACTTCAATCAGCAATGATCTAAGCGCGAAATTCCCAAATACACTGTCACCTAAGGTCAGCTCAGGTAGTAAAGGTAGGATGGGGTGTGGGTACTGGGTAGAGGTTAAGAGTTTGAACCATAGTCTGGAAATCTGAGTTAATCTGCCTCGTTGAACCGTTGAACCAGTGTCTTGACTGGTTTAATATGGTTCAACCACGCACGAATGATTTGTGAGTGTAGAGTAGAGGCCAAGAATAGAAAATAAGATTTTCAGTAACAGATTCCTGAAGCCATGAAGTATGCTACAAGTATGATCAGAGAAGCACATTATAGCTATGTAAAATAACCTTAACAGGCATGATTCACCTTATCTTCTGAAAAAAGAAAAAATACAGGTCCGGTAGAGGTGTAAGAAGGAACTTCAACAGATATACTTGTTTTATAAATGAGTCATTTTTTAAATAAGAAATGGAGTGAAGTAATGATGTAATCCCTAAAAGATCACACTCTCCCTCCAATTTGATCTTCTAAAGATATAGTCTCTCAGTTTAGTCCTTGAAATATCAGTTTCCTCTAAATTTGATCATGCAAAGATGAAATTTCTCTTTTTAGTCCTCCAAACATTTTTCTTCACCTCAAAATGGTCCCTTTGAGAATCATTTTGACCCTCTTTTCAGGATCATTTTGATTCAGGGACTAAATTGAAATGTTTTATTATTATTTTTTTTTTTAAGGACCAAATTAAGAGGATAGTGATCTTTCAAAGGCTAAGTTGAGAGGTTTCAATGTTGGACTCAAATTAAGAGGATGGAACTACATTGTTAATTTGCTCAAACAGAAAAGGTCAAAATAAGCAAATTTCACAAATTAGTCACAAAACCACAAACCCTATAGGGCACAATAGGGTGATACACATTCTTATAAATTATATTTATTGTCAGATATATGTTCACGGACAAAATGAAGGAACGTACCTTGGCCATAGAAACTCTCTTCGTATACAGTATAAATTCAGCCAGAACTATTGACGGTGTTACTGCAATCTTAGCCATCTGATAGAAACCAATGCTGTACATATAGAAATTAAATTCAGAGTATAAAAAAGAAAATTTATAATATAGAAATGTGAATATTTACCTTACCTATTATATTTTAAGCTGACATTAGCAAGGCCGGTTGAAAGAGACATGACAAATCCAAGAGTAAATAAACTTGACATTTGGGTCGATTTTGAGGAAGGAGATGCAGGGAGAAGAGAAAAGGTTTTTAGTACAGCCATGAAGAACCAGCTCACCAGATAGTGAATTAGTGTGAGAAAAATAGGAAATCTGAAATTAACAGTTTGAAGCACCTGAAAAGAATAAGCAAAAGAAAACGAAGAATAAGAAATAAGTCAAGAATGTCAGCAACATGCTATTTGAAATTTCAACATATTATGCAGGTTAATCAAATAGAGGGAAACGTGAGCATACAAACCATTTTATTCATGAAAATAATACCAACGGCAACCAGAAAATTGAAGGAAAGTGCAACAGCAGGACCACAAATACGCTGCTGCTGACGCTTTGCACCTTCAGAGGAGCGAAATTCATTAAAAAGAGACGCTCTTAACTCTTCCAGTGCTCTTCCTGCAATGAGCCATAGTGGATAATAAAAGATATCAGGGAAGGCTACATTACTGCAACATGGAGTGCCATCAATTCGTAATTTTTCATTTAATCTCCATGATAGATAGGCTAAAGCAAAATGACAACTATACCACAAAACATGAAAGTGAATTTTATTTAAATTAGAATAAAGATCCCACAACTTTATAAGAACCAATTATGTAAAAAGAGAAGAAAATTACACATGCATGATGACCACCAAGAACTGCAAGATAATCAAAAAGTAGCTAAAATCTTAAACTAGACGTTACAGGATAATTGCAATTAACACATGTACAAATCATCTGTCAAACAAAAGAAATAGAATCATATGCTAGTCAGCATATGATGACTAACCATGTAAGCGTTGGGAACTTAGCCTGTGAAATAAAATAAAAATCCCATTAGGCATAGATATGAAGGTAACATTCTATCTTTGACAAACCAGTGGAGGTTTCATATTCGAAATTTAGATGTAAACTCAATTTCTACCATGGTGAAGGCATTTATTGGAATTAGATGAAAGTGAAGATGGTGGGTAAGAATCAGCTCCAAAATGAAACTGTTTCAGCCTTTCAGGTACTCAAGGATATAGAGGTCTCAGAGACAGCGAAAGATTAGGAAGAAGTGGATTTACAATAGAATTCTTGACTTTAACTGTTTGCAGAGCATCAAAAAGAAAACATGAAAGTAAATCCCAAGATCAAACAGAATTTGTCCCCAGATGATGAACCAAAGTTTTCAGCAACAGTAACAGGAAATAAGTTGATTGCATTTATATTGAAAGCAAAAGTGTGAGTCGAATGACCAACGCATATGCGAGATAGACTGATTGGACCTTGCTTTATGGGTAGAGAAGCATCCAATGCGACCAGAATTGGTCAGAACTCGGAAGCTTCAATGTCTACTAAAATGACAGAACAACGCTCACCATGAAATAGCCTACCATCAGAAGTTCAGAACTTAATACACAACTAGAATACACTAAACGAGCATCAGTAAGCTATGTTGTGTGCCAGGAACACAGAGCAGAAAAACCCACACAGCCAAAGACAATTGAAAGGTCCGAAAATATAATGGTAAATTGTATATTAGGACAATAAAGCAGAGAAACTCTCACAACCAAAGATTATAAGCATTATACCATCAAAACCTGCAACACTAAATGAGGTCCAAAATACACCGAGAATGTGAAACGAATCCCAGCAAACAAGCGAAAAATTTGAACACTAGGATGACAGATTCTGAGTAAAGATTGACAGCCACTAACTAACAGTGATGATGTTGATCAGAAAACAAAAAGCCCTACCTTTTTCCCCCGCATCGCTGTCTTTGCGCTTGAGAATCTTCCTAACATCTTTTCTTATTAAGAAATTTAACATCTCAGCTCAGATTAGCAACACTCCCTTCCAGAACTCAAATGGGTATGCTCCTCTTGGAACCCTAGAGAGCAAAATAAGGGTGTGTAGTGATATTGCCTGAGTATTGAGTGAGCTAACTAAAACCCAGAATACTGCAAAATGCGAAGTGTCATCCCGCTTGGCTGTTTTAGCAGCTTACTGGTTTTAATATTTCAGTGCTTGATATAGTAGAGGGTAGCAACCATATAGAGAGGAACGGGAAAAAGACAAGAGGTATTAGCAAATGAGGAAGAAAGAGCAAAATGGGATAGGAGACACGTGGATTTAAAAGATGCCGGAAATGGCGGAAAATGGCAGCTGTCGGCTGAGATTGATTGTGAACTTTCAGTGAATCACGCTCTCACCGACCGACACCGCGAATTGAAACAAATTTCATGCATTGCTCTTTTACACTGCACACAAACCAAAAACATTAACATTAAAAAATTATTAGAATTAGGATTCTCCGTTTGTCATGTTGTGCAGTGTAGGTGCGAACTGTGAAGTGCGGTATTTTGCAGAATCCAATAACCATTCATTCGTTGACTGATACGTTGTCGTAGGTAGAATGATCCCAGAGCAGATGCTCACTGAATTTTGAAAAGCATCAATTAGCAATTCAACTGACGGATTTCGTTGGTTTAAAAAAAAAAAAAAAAAACTCACGGATTTCACTGTGTACTGTTAGGTAAATTTTGTTCATCCTGTACTCTATTTTTTATCGTTTGAGAAAAATTTGTTGACAAACATTCTCTGATATTAAAAAATGTTTATAAAAATATTTCCAGATCATCAATTAATAAAATTTTATTAATGACAAGATTTGTTCATATGACATGTAGTAAATAATGGGTCAAAATTTTACCAAAGTGGGATTTAACAGCAGGATTTAATTGGTTATGGCCTTATCGGTACTATTATCATTACCTTTTTTTTTTTTTGGATAACTGTACTATTATCATTACCAGCTAGAAAATCTATATTTTATTCATTTATAAAAATTATTTTTTCATATTTTTATTCATTTATGAAAAAATTAAAGAAAAACGATAATAAAAAGTGTAATTAAAAAATAACGTTAATAAAATTTTATTTTTATCAAAACATCTATATTTTAGAATGTTAAATTTCTCTCAAATATATTTTATAAATTAGGATAAAGAGTTTTACTTGATGATCTACTAGCAGAATTATAAATTATATTCTTAACCGTGCACACAATTGTAAGTTTTTTTGTGTTAAATTAGAAACAAAAAAAATTAAATAGTATATTTATTGTATTGAACGGTATTTTTACTGCACTAAACAGTTTTTTTACTGTACAAGGAACAGTAATTTTATTTATAAAAGGGAAGATTAGTCATGCTTTTTAAGATTATTTTAGTGGAGAGGATTTCCATTTTCCGATAACTTTATACGGTGCTATTGCGATAAGATTGTTTAATTAAAATATGAGAAAAATATTTATGGCCAAAAAAAATATGAGAAAAATATAATTTTTTTTCTAATAAGGACACGATATTTCTATTCAAAATATGAAATAGCTGGAAATGGATATTCCTTTTCAGTTGATGCTGCTTTGACAGGGACAACAATGGCAATAAATTAATTTCTTTCATTGCTCGGCTATTTATTTTATTTGCCATTGAAGGGAAAGGGACCTATATGGAGAGCTAGTTAACGTATATGAATAGTATTGGATGAACCACATTTAAGTTCAGGAGAATGAGGTAATTTTTAATGGGATTTAAATTTAATAACTATAGTTAGTACAAGCACTCTAAATTTTTAAAATTTATATCAATAATTATAACTTATATTTCACTTAAAATTAATAAATAGATAAGTTTATTTAAATTATTAATTTAAATTTTAACGACTCAAATAATATAAGTACTCAATATCTATACTAAATATAATTATTAAATTCAAATTCATTTTAATAGACTAAGTTTGAAATCTTTATCACAGGAGTTTATATTTAAAATTCAATCGTGTTTAAAAAAAGATTGCCTTTCATAAAATGGTGATATATATATATATATATATATATGTAATTAGTATTATAATTACGAATCATCCAATTAATTAAAATAATTAATGCAATCACTATCGCAAATTTATCATGCATGAATGAAAGAATCATCATCATAGTGGTTCATAATTATTAACTGTGCAATGATTTAAGAATATCAAAATTTAATATAATCAATAAGAACTTTTCGCTTTCAAAATGGAACCTTTTGAAACAAATCCATGGGGGAATAAATGTTAATTAGTTACAAAATCTAGCAGCCACTTGTTTTCCTAATGTTTAAATTAATTAATTAATAAATGAGCCTAAAAAGGGGAAGGTGATTTCACATGATTTCATTTATTTTTTGCAAGATATGCACATGACTTTCTTATTCCATATCAAGCACCCCAATTTATATCCTTCATAGTTTTTCTTTTGTCCCTTTTGGGTTGGCCTCCAAAACTCCAGACAACAACGGCAACAGCAACAAGGACTCTCACATGTGAAATATCACATGTCTTGTTTAGTTATTATTAATCATTACTTCTTTCAACTGTCTACAAGCTTCGTGCCAAATGGGCTAAAATTACAATAATGTTTAAGTGTTCAATTTTCTCTTTCTTTCTTTTTTTTTAATTTTAAATTGGGTTTTGGTTTGTAACAAGAGCGGCCTGGCTTGGTATATCAATGAGTTTGGAGTGTACCAGAAGTATTGAAATTGAAAAATATTGTCAAGTGTTGTGTACCAATATTTAGGAGCTTAGAGTGCCCCTAAGCATGCCTTCTAATGATATCAGAGGTAAGGTCATGATTTTTGACTAATTATTTATTTAAAAAAATTCATGTTCGTTTAGAATGGTTGAGAATAAAATGAAATGGAATTACAAGGAATGGAAAGGGATAAAATGTTGATTACCATGAAATATTTTTGGCATGTTATAAAAAAAGATAAAATGAAATTTATTTTTTCATAAAAATAGATGTGAAGGAAGGTTGGCTATGTGAAGTAACAAGAGATCAGGGGTGAGAGCATTGTGCATATTTGGTTGATTATTTAGCAGTAGAAAAGAGAATTGATCTAAAAAGTTATTCAATATTTAATAGGTAGAAAAGTTTTTTCTATAAAGAACAAAATAATAAATGCATCTGTTTCATTTTCTTTTTAAATATATTCTACATTTTCTTTCTAGAAAATATATTTTCATATACTAAACATATTGATAGTTAAGGATAAAAATAGGTTAGATTGAGTTAGACTTTGATCAAATAAGTACAAGCTTGTGTAGTAGCTCAAAGGCTTAAACCTAACATAAAGTTATATAAGTTTTTTTTTTTCATGGCTCATGCTTGAATTTATTTAAAACCTCGGCTAACTTGAAAACCTATTTAAAAAATTAACTTAAAAATAAGCCTTTTAAATATATTTACATTATTAGTTTTAAATATATCAAATGTGCTTTAGAAATATTAAAGTTTATATTTATATAACATGATTTATCAATTTCAATATATAATAGTTAAGATAACTTTTTAACTACAATATAATAATAAAATAACAACATTAAAATCAACATATATAAGTTCAATCTAATTGAAAATATAACTAAAAATAAAAAAATAGATCGTTTAAAATTAAATGGTGAAATTAATATATATTTATGACCGGCTTAGTAGGTTTGTAAGCTAGACCTAACTTATTTAACTAAATAAGCCTAACTAAAAACTCAAATCTGACTTGATCTTGTTTAATAAATAAGTTATGTTAGGTTTATTGTAGGTCAAGCCGTAACCTGACCAATTTTTATATCAATAATAGACAACTGAATATACTTTCACGTGGGAATGTAACATGAATTTTTAAGAATTGAGATTCCTTGTAATCAAGACAAGCCATTTATTCTTCAGCCTCGAAAGTCATCAAATCGCAAGCATGTGAGTGTAATTTTTCTACTCCCTTTCATAAAAGGAGAACGGATTTCAAACCCATTGATTGCCTATTTATTTGACTTATCTGCATCCACCAGCTTCTTCATGTTAAAGATGAGCCAACCTTTTATATCCTTTCATGAGCTTTTATCCAAACTTGGTGTTGCGTGATAACAATCTATTTTCTTCTTCATATTAAGATGAGTCAACCTTTTATGGCCCTTTATGAGCTTTTATCCAAATTTGGTTTGCATGAAGACAATTGTGGAGTACATGGAGACCTCATTTCCTCTATCACATGGAGCTATCCACGATGCAAGTTTGTCACCACTTCCCTCTTCCTTCATTTATTTCTCATTAATTTTTTTTGTCACAATATTACTATCACAACTATCATGATTACTGCCATCACTACTATTATCACTAACATGACCACCACTACCACCACTTTTTATGTTATAAAGTTTGAAATTATCGCCAACAACAACTAATATTATTTAATGAAGGATTAAGAAGAAAGAATATTCAAAGTGCTTTATGCAAAGCTATAGGTATCTTAAACTATATTATGGTGCAATTTTGCCTATTAATTTTAAAAAATAGTGTAAAAATCCTCAATCTATAGCAAAGACACATATCAAAAAAATGATATATTTTTTTTCTTATAATAAGATTAGTGTAATCAATAATAGTGAGTCAAGTGAAAAGAACTCAATTTTCATTAAATAAGGTTGATAATTTAGACATTTTTGTAAATGAAAAGAATTATATTGAAATATTTAAGTTCCATAATACTTGAACATGATTTGTAGTAGTAGACATTAGATAATTGTATTTCCCATAATATGAGACTCGAAATTAAATTAGCATCTTGCCTTTTTTCCCCTGAACAAAATTTTAATTTAATTTAAATTTGAAATTGGGCCAAATGTAGGATATGTTTCAGCCCACCCCATAAACATAGTCCCTATTTTTTCATCATCTTCGTGGCCCAAATTGCCCTTGACCAAAAACATATTGTCCTCCGATCCTGAGTGGAATCCGAGGTCTACAGGCACATAATAAGGACTAAAAACTCGGAGAAGAGTCGTTCACTCGCAGTGGGGGCACGGGAAGCAAGTGCCATCTTCCACGTTGATTTCCTTCGATTCTTCACTGACGCGACCCGCGAAGATGCCGCCCAAACCCGAAACTCAAGCTCTTCACGGCTCTTCTTCCTCCACCGTCGCCGATTCGCCGTCCTCCACCACCATGGATCCACTCTTTCACATTGTCCGGATCCTTCCCTTTAGCTTCCTCCGCCCGCCTCGCCTCCGCCTCAAGCTCCCATCTTTCACCCTCCCATCTCCCATGACTGTCTTCGCCCTAGTCCTCCTTACCTACTTCATGGTTGTCTCCGGCATCGTCTACGACGTCATCGTCGAGCCCCCTGGCATCGGGTCCACCCAGGATCCTTACACTGGCGCCGTGCGGCCCGTTGTTTTCATGCCCGGACGCGTCAACGGCCAGTACATCATCGAAGGACTATCCTCTGGCTTCATGGTCGTGCTCGGTGGGATCGGAATTGTCCTATTGGATCTCTCTTTGGATCGCAACCGTGCGAAAAGTGTCAAGGTTTCTTACGCCTCCGCCGGCGTCTTCTCTGTCCTGCTTGCTTATGTGATGAGTATGCTTTTCATTCGTATCAAGATCCCGGGCTATCTTAGATGAATTTTGCTCAATTTCATGTTAGAGAACTGGGTTTAAGTTATGCGTCTTCAATTGCAAACATTGTTAGATTTAATTATGCCAGTGCCCATACTTCCCTTTTGCATTCTGTAGTTTGTTGTACTCTTTGGATTACGTAAGTCCCGATGGTAATTCGACTTGATTTGATATCTATAGCCTAAGTACCTATTATATACCAAGGTGTTTATTTTCACTGTTCTTTTTTGATAGAATTTTCATTTTTTTCAATAGAATTTTCACTGTTTTTTAATGCGTAATGCTTATGCGTATAAGAATTAGGCGTATAAGGGTATTGCAGTAATGCATGCGTATATGATAGGCTAGATTCTGATGCTTGCTTCCGTGCCACTTCAGTTTGAATGTAGAAGTATTAGCTGCTGTTCAATTTTTTGTGCTTTCGCGGCCAAGTGTGTATATTTTTGACGAAGAGACATATTTTGTGGCCAGTGCACTTGAGGGTTAATATGAGTCTGAAGGAAATGCGACTTTCAGGCAGGTTACACATTTAAAATGCTGATTAATATCTATCGGCTGCTTGATTGTGCTGACTTTGTGTGACCTACTGTCCTTTATATATTTCAAGCTTTATTCATGAGTTTGTCAGACTCAGACAGCCAATAGAGCTCTTGACTGATGAAATCAGACATCACACTGTGAGAGACTGAAATATTATTTTTGATCAAGTTTATTGGTAAGATAATGAATGTGCAAATTGGATTGTTAAATCAACGCATAACCTTCAAACTCAGTTTTGCTTGTTTACTCATCCTCCCTTAGGCTACAGGGGGTTGATTGTTCTGGATAAACAGGGCAGTTAGGATACTTTGTCTTTTTCTTGTTTTCTGTTGTATGGTTGAACCATTTCCTTTTACTACCTCCAGGACTATTTATAAGAAACAAGTGACAATTAAAATTCAGCTAACATTAATTATCACTTGTTTCTTTTAAATTGGCCAGGAGGTAGTACTAAAAAAAAAACGGCTTTGTTCATGGGGTAATGAGGTGATCATGCCATTCCTCATGGGTAATTATGCATCTGTTACAATTCATGCTGTTCGGCTATACTCAAACAGCCATAACATATTTATTCATGATTAACACGTCTTGCCATCTTTCACAATATTTTCTGTTCGATGCCTGGCCCAGAGAGCTGCTTCACACTAGTAGTTAACGTAGTTTCCTGGAAATTTTTCATTCTCAAGTAAAATCATCCTTCTAGCCCTTTTTATGCATTCATAGAATGCTCCTAGAATGTAGATTCATCAATGTGAAATCTGATGTTCATTCCTCTTTATCGTCCATTTTATAGAGTGGTAGAGCCTAGATAGTTAACTATGATCCAGGGGACAGTCACACACAGACATAGGTTATTTCATGAATTCTCACTAATAAAAGTTGTGTGTTACTTTCTTATGCAACGATTATATTATTTCTGCTAATCGATCATTTGAGACTGCTACATATTGGGCAATGCGTGCAATTAGTTTAGGAGAAGTTTTGTTCCCTTTAGGAATTTGCATGCACTAGGGCCTAGGCTAAGAATACGGAAGTTATCGACCTTATGGGGGGCAGGTTCTGGATATTTCTTTTGCATATTACACTCAGATTATATCAGGAAATATGAATAGCTGCATTGTTCTAGCACTAGTGTGACTAAACTATGTACTTGTTAATATTTTAGCTATGAATTACATTCCACTAAGCAAACTATTTGTTTTATATTGAACGTTTTGTGTAGCAAAATGTTGAACAATGGTTGGGAGAATAATCTTCTTCGTTAGTCTGATGGTGGAAACTAGATCCGAGTCACATTCATTTTTCTGTTCATGATCTGATGTAATTGTCATCTGGATATCCTTTAGGACACATATAGCATGTTTCTTCATAGCTGTTTGCTTAGTAAAAGTTCTATTCACAGCTTCACGCCAATTGACTCTGATCTTGTGATACCAAGTTCTTTTACCTTGCCGGAGGTTGCAAGTCCGATCCCACTTGCTTTCAATCTGGCATCAGTTTGCCCCGTATACTAAAGAAGTTTGCATACATGAAAACTGGAAACTATGGAGCGAGCCATTAGCCACCATCCCTGATGTTTAAAACTGAAAGTACATAGCGCCACCCACCCCCAAAAGAGGGGGAAAAAAAAAAACAACACACCCTCTCAAACTGGGTAGTTGATTGGACTTTCTCATCGGGTAGTTATCAATAATAGTGGAGTTAGTGGAGGGATACAACGTCTCTTCGAGAAGGCTATTATGTGTTTAAATTTGAATTACGCAATGCCAGAAATTAGTTTAATTAACAATATCATGTACCCTATAATTATCAAATAAAATGTCAAATTTGTGAGTCATAAGCTAATCAATTACTCTCTGTATTCCTTCTTACAAGGTACTGCTATTTAGAAGGTTTTGTTTATTGTGTTTTTTGTTTCTCGAGGCATTTGCAAAATAAGTGCTTGGAGTGAGAAAGATACGACAAGTCCTAAAAGTATCTAACTAAATAGGTTGATTATATGAATTGTATGATAGATATCATTGTATTTTATCATTAATTAAGCCTTTGAGAGAAGGATCAATCAACAAACTTATTAAGGTAATGTTAAAGAAAGATAGGAGCATTTAAGATTATCTTTAGAAAGATAAAGTAATGTTAAAGCATTTTTCAAAGAGTTATTAATTACTTAAATGAGTTGTTGGAAAAGTTATTTTTGTTGAAATCGTTATAATTTGGGAGAATGACAATTTAAGATTATTTTATTTAATTTTAGTCTCAACAAATTCTTGAATGTAAAGTAAGTCTCTAGATCTTTAAGTGATGTTTTGATATTTTGCAAATTTGTTTTTGGAATTTGTAATGTTATCATGTTAAATTTGTAACTTGATATTTCAATTATAATAGAGAACACAAATTTTAATAATTAAATTTGAAAAGAATCTTGTCATTATTTGAACACTTTTAAGAATTGTAATTTTTTCTTTTAAATTTGCAATTTCATCATTTATAATTTGCAAGACTGCAACTCATTTTCTTAATTTTAATGAGGAATATTAATCTTAATGACTAAGTTTGAAGGTAACATGTCATTATTTGAATATAAGAATTTCAACTTTGTCTTCTAAATTATAATTTTCTCTTGTTGAATTTGTAATTTATTTTTTTCATTTTAATAAGAAATACAAATCTTAGATCATGTTTGGTACATTAGAATTGGATCCAAGAGAAATAGAATTGGAATTGGAATCATGCTTTTAATTGTTTGGTATGCATGAATCCAATTCCTTATGGATTTCAATTCTACAAAATACCTAAAATTCAATTCCATCTCCATTATGATGGACTTGTCACAATTCCATGGACTTGTCATAATTCCATATAATTGTCATAAGTGCCCCACATACACACTCTATCATGATGGCTAAGTTTTTTATTTTTTTATAAGGGCATTTTGGTCTTTATCTTTTTTAAATACATATATTTATTAATATTATATTCAGATTCCATCTTCATACCAAACACACTTTTAAAACTCAATTCTATTCCGATTCTGATTTCAATTTCAATTCCGATTCCATTAAAAACTCTTCCATCATACCAAACGAGGCCTTAATGATTTTAATTGGGAATTTATAACTTTGACTCTTAAATTTGCAACTTTGTCCAATTGAATTTGCAACTCATTCTCCCTTTTTTAATTGATATAAACAAATGTTAATGATTAAATTTTGGAGGAACAAGTCATTATTTGTAAACTTTTAGAGATTTGCAACTTTGTCTTCCAATTTTGTAACTTTAATTCTAGATATTTGCAACTTCATTTGTTTTGTGTGTGTGGTTTTTGATTTACATCTGATGAAAAACTATTGAGAAGATCCAACTATTTATTGTATTTAACAAAAGCACATTTTGGATGTGATTTAAATATATTTTCTAGAGTTACCTAAATAGGCCTAGTTTGCATTTCATTTTCCTAATTTTATTATGAACATATTGTATTATATGAAAATATCAATTAAGAATATAAAAAACTTACTTTATATTTTAAAATTGATTGAGACTTTTATTAAATTAAATGATTCACATTGGGACATAAGTGTGGTTTCCCTTATAGTTTTTCCTTTTGATTGGACAATGACATTGAATGACACTTGACAATTTAAAGTAATTCTCTAGAAAAAATGAAAAAAACTATTCCCTCAAATAAAAAAATGTAAGATATTTTTATAAAAAAGCTTGGTGATGGCTCTACTTTTTCTGCAGAGCTCTAGGGTGTCTTGTGGGGTATGTGTATGGTGAGAGATTTTGGGATGGATAATTTGATTGTGGAGGGAGATTCAAAAGCTATGATTGCAGTGTTAAATGAAACTTCTGTTGCTAGTATGAAGAGTGGAAGGTTTTTGATTGATTTAATTTTGCAAGAATCTATGCATTTTAGACAGGTTAGATCAAGGTAGTAAAAACTGGATTGACCATTGAACCGACCAAAGACAGGGGTCAGGGGTCAGGGGTTCAACCGGGGTTAAACTAGGGGTCAACCCGAATTCAAACCGGACATAATAAAATAATATGATTTAAATAAAAATAAATTCTCTAAGACTTAATATTTTATACAATACCACATACAAGTCTAACACAATCATTAAAATATCATTAAAAACACAACATTTAAAATATTCATCATTACAACCCTTTAATCATCAAAAAGTCTAAAGCTAATACTAATTAACACCAAAATCTTTATTAATTTCATTCAAATCTCAGGAGTAGGGATTGAAACATTGAGAGATGATTGAGAGAAACCAGAACCACTTCCAACATCATCAATCAAATGTGGATGCTCTAGAATATTGATATCTTCTTCACCTATTTATGACAAAAATTAACATTAATCATTGTGTAAAAAATAATTATATATGATGCAATATAGACATGGTAGTAAGTATAAACCTCCATTATTTCTCTCAAAAGCTGATGAAGCTACAACATTTTCATTATGCATAGCACTTTCCATATTAGTGACATCATCAACATCAAACTCTGGAGCTGGCTCTTGTTCCTCTTCAGCAATCCAAAAGTCTAATTTGTCAATAAATTCATAATCAATTAGATCAAAACTTGTCTTTTTCTTCAATTGGCTCCTTTGATGAGATCAAAGCAATCAAATATAAGTATATA